TAACTGCCCCCCCCGTCCAGCCTGATCATCCTTAACTGCCTCCTTGGCAGCCTGTTACCCCCAAAGGCCCCCCTATGCCATCCTGGTCACTCCTAACTGCCCCCCCCCCGCCAGCCTGGTTGTACACAGTTGCCCTCCCATGCAGGCCTGGTACCCCGCAACTGCCCTCCCCTGCAGGCCTGTTGCCACCAAGTGCCCTCCCCTGCAGGCCTGGTTGCCCCCAACTGCCCTCCCCTGCCAGCCATCTTGTGTTGGCCGTCTTGTAACGATGTGAGGGGAGCCATCTTGTGGTAGCCATCTTGTGATGACATCACAGTGGCCATTTTGTGACAACGTTGCACAATGCCACCTAGGCTTTTATTATATAGGATATATATCTAAATATATCTAAAAATATCACCATTTCACCTTGTAATCAACACAAAATAATTATTAATGAGCTATTTTACACTCCTCTCATGAACCAAGTCCTCAGGAATTGCGAGTATGTGTTATCAATTTGGATTGGTCACATTTCAAGTACTTAATGGCCACATGTGATGAGTGGCTATCCTATCAGACAGATGATCAACAAAATCTGGCCTTAAAGACCTATTCAGGGACAGACACAATATACCCGCAGTCTTTACTAAAACTATTATCACACACACACTTCTCGGACTCCTTTAGAGCCTCAATCACTTTTTAATTTCCCTAAAACTAAATTTTGCATAATTACACTATGGAGACAATTCCATGGAAATGTTTTAGCTGCTGTTTTGTTTAGCCATGTGGGCTGATCATAAGACAAAACAGCTGCCTCTGGGCACCCAAGAGGGACACAGTCCAGGAACTTGAGTGGTCCGGCAGCCACTGGGCCTCTCAGTGCCCCATCATTTCTCTCTCCAGCTCAGCTGGCCGTTGGTTAGAGGAGGGACAGAGCGCCTGTGAACTCTGACTTGGGGCAAGAATAAAAGCCCCAGAAGCTCTTAGGTTCAAGTGTGTGGAGACAAATTTCACCTTCGCCATCATCTGGCCCCTTCAGCTCATTGCGTGGTCAGTTTCCCAAGTCCTCACTGGAGTCTACGAGCAGCAATGAAAGAAGATAGACTTGTTTCAGGCACACGTATGCCTCCACCAAGCCTGTCGCTCACTATGGCTACCTGCATTCAACCTGTCTTATACCTTCCAGAAAACCTTATAAAGGGATCAAAAAATGGCCCTAGCCAGTTTGGCTCTGTGGATAGAGCATCGGCCTGTGGACTAAAGGGTCCAGGGTTCAATTCCGGTCAAGGACACATGCCTGGGTTGAGGGCTCGATCCCCAGTGTGGGGTGTGCAGGAGGCAGCCAATAAATGATGCTCTCTCATCATTGATGTTTCTATCTCTCTCATCCTCTCCCTTCCACTCTGAAGTCAATAAAAACTATTTTAAAAAAGGAAATTGTAAGCTCCAGATCATGTTATCCCAGGAAATAAACCTTTTCCCAGCAGGAAACAAAATCACAGGGACGTGCAGAGGGGCAGACCGCCCACAGATGTGCAGCCATGCCCACGCACACTGACTGTGGGTCTGCTTTTAAAAGGCTGCTGACAAAAGGCTGCTTCTGAGCTCCTTTCTCTCTGGCCTGCCTCATCGTTCCTCGGGCTCCTGCTGCAAAGGTCTTGGCTTGAGTGTGGAGCTTTGGACAGAAAATGCATGACCCTTTCCTTTCACTGTCACCCCCAAATGATATACTCAAGCAGCAGCTGATCAGGAAACCACTGAAGGTTTCGGGACAGAATTATGCCTGGCAACCACTTGGGGATGATACATTATTCTTCTGGAAACAGGTTTTGTTAGATCACCTTCGGAAAGCTGCCACGTCATGGCCACCACTGCTCACTATCTTTGGGGGAACCCAGAGGAAGCCTTCCTGCTTCCCCTTTCCAGGCGACAATTTGAAAGCAACCCAGGATGACATGACACTAGTAACACTCGATTCTCTCTCCTCTCACCATCTGTCACTGAGACACAGCTTGCAGGCCTGCCAGGCAAGGCTGTTGCCAAGGAAACAGCCATGCATTCAGCTCCCGTCCTGCTATTAACAGAAGGACACTGCTGTGCAGTCCTGGGCCTCTTCTCCCTAAGACCAGGCTTGCGATCTAGGGTAGGGAACAAACTCGGTTTATACTTCAGATGGCACCCAGGAGGCTCCCCCTTCACCCTGAAAATGCTTTTTAATTTTCTGATACTTCCAGTAGCTGCTTCATTTGAATCTCAAATCAAAATCTGCAAGCCAGCCTATTTGATAGAATCCAAAGCCATATTTCCACTGCCTATTGGACAAATGCTCCTGAAAGCAATGTGCGTGCCTCTATTTCAGGGCATTCAAGGTCATGTTCATCTTATTCCCTCACCCACCTTCACTTCCTCCCCCTCGTTTTGCCTAAAACATTTCTCCCCGTGCATTTGCTCCCCAGAACGTGGAGCCATCCCTCTAATCTCCCAGGGCCACGCTTGCAGTGGCCTCGCTCTCCCCTCTGCCCTCCAAATTCCCATCTTGAATGTTCTCCATCAGAAGCTTCCCCTCAGATCTTGTCCACTCCCTCTCCTGCCACCAAGCCCAGCTGGGCTGTGGCCAGCTCCTTGGCTTGCTGGCCCCTATCTCCTCCTGTGGTCCACCCTCCTCATGGCTACCCAGGGATTCATCAAAGACACAAACTGAAAAGGCACCACTTTGGTTAAGAATCTCCAATGCAGCCCTGGCTGGATAGCTCAGCTGGCTAGAGCATTGCCTTAATACGCCAAGGTTTCAGGTGTGATCCCCAGTCAGAGCACATACAAGAATCAACCAGTGAATGCAGAAATAAGTGGAACAACAAACCCATGTTTCCCTTTCTCTCTCCCTCTTTCTCCCTCTCTCTCTCTCTGCTTCTCTCTAAAATCTATTTTAAAACATAATGATAATGAGTCTCCAATGTTCCCTATCAGCTAAAGTCCAACCCGTAGCACTGTGTACCAAGCCCATGGCAACCTGACCCCCTTCCTTCTGGTTCGATTTCCATTCTCTTTCCCACACATTATAACTCCTATTATCCAAAGCGTGGCTGAGGGCCAGTGGCTAGATATCAGCTAGATGCTTTTCAGAAATGCCAAGCTTCATTGAGGGGCCTTGGCCTGACTAACACTCTTCCTCTGCAATATCATTTAGCACTAAGCCCACGATCCGAGTGACAGTTCCTACTGTCATCACCACCGCTAGGCTGGCTCAGTGCCTTCGTAATCACGTTAATTAGCAAAGGTCTAAAGAACAGAGACCTAATAAATCATGATTCTGTTCCCAAGATATGTGAACCGAGGCTGCCAATATAAGTAAATCGCCGTCAGCAGGAGATGGCTTTGGGAAAGGAAGCCACGTTTGTCAGAAGGGGCCCAGGAGTCCTTTCTGTCTCTGCTGGCTCCTCAGTTCCCAGGAGAGTGATGCTAGCCCTGCAGTTTAGGACCCTGGGGCAAGCAAAGCCTGCCACCTTGGGCAGAAGGTGGAACACAACGTGGCAATACCCAGATGCCACCTGGGCACTGCGCAGAGTACAGAGCACCTAGTGGGTGAGTGCCTCCAACTCTTGGTCTGGAATTCCTAGCTCATTGTAATGACAGGATTCTCAGGACAACGTGGCTTGTAACCACACAGCAGGATGGGAATGGTGTGAACTGGGCGGGGTGCAGTATGTGCAAAGGCAGGTTAGGGAGAGGGCCTGGGAGCAGGTGGAATACTGGTCAGTGGGAGCTGGAGCAGAGGGCAAGAGGCAGCCAGAGCCAGGCGGGGCAATGGCCACACTCCATCAGCTCTGTCCAGCTGTGAGATGCCAGAGTCTAGGCAAATGGCAAGTAAGTTGTTCAAGGCTATTTATAGCCTGTAAGTGTTCTGCTTGGGACATCGGTCTACTTCCTCCTGGCCTTCACATCCACGTGGAAAAGTTGTGCTAAAGGAAGGAGCAAGAGAAGAAGAAGGAAGTTTTGTTTTGCTTCCTACCTGCCCCTCCCATCCAGGGGCAATTGCAGTGTCTAATGTTGTGCAGAAGCTCTGGAAGGAAGGGACTCTCCCAGGAATGAGTGAGGGTGCCCTTATCTGCCCAGAGCCCTTGAGGCACTGCACAGCCTGCTTGTGGGTGAAGCCACTCAGACTCTTTCCGTTTACCTGCAGGAGCCTGTCACCTGGGGGGAGACAGATGCCATGCCCACGGGTCCTGAGGCTGAGGGAAGGACTCTCTGGGAGTCCCTGCCCATGTGCAGCCATGCAGCCTTGAGAGGCAGGAAGCCACGCTGCGGGAGCGCAGCCGAGCCTGAGTACCAGCGCCACTCTGAACACCCCACAGGCCAGGAGCTCTGAATGCCCCACAGACCAGGACAGAGAACTCCTTGGATGGACGGGTTAGCCATCTCTGTGCAACCTCATCCTTTCTCCTAGTTCCCTGGCAAACTGTTTTTTAACGTTTTTATTTTTATTTTTTTTAAATTAAATCTTTATTGTTCAGATTATTACATTAGTTACTCTTTTTTCCCAACATAACTCCCCTCCGCCCAGTTCCCACCCCACCCTCTGCCCTCACTCTCCACCCACTGTCCTCATCCATAGGTGCATGATTTTTGTCCAGTCTCTTCCCTTTCCCCGCCAAGAATAGTCAGTCCACTCCCTTTCTATGCCCCTGATTCTATTATAATCACCAGTTCATTGTGATTATTCACTTGATTTTCAGATT